TCTGCCCTACTCTGCTTTTTATCTGTCCATATTATCGAAAATTTGGTTTCTAAATTTCCTTCGATAATTAAACATATTTTAATTTTCAAAAATTATAAATTATATATATATTTATTTAAAATATTTATATATATATATTAATATTTGATTTTTTAAAAATAAATATAGTGTATTTAAATTAAGAAATATATTTATTTTAAATAAAAATAAATATTTTTATGTATTTATTTATAAATTATATATATTTTTTTAGATTTTATATATTTTTAGGAAATAAATAAATATATTTTGGTATTTTCCTTGATTTTTATATTATTATATTTTAAAAAATAACAAAATTTTTCGAATAAAATATTTACATTATTACTATTAAATTATTTAAATTACATATATAATCGAAGGAATTTAGAAATCAAATTTCTGACAATAGAGACAGACAAAAAGCAGAATAAAAAGAGTCAGAAAAAAGAGTCTCAGAAGGAAGAAGATCAGGTGCGCAAAAAGATAATAAAGTCGCGAACCCTAAGATTTGTGGCTCCGGAGGGTCGAAAAGTAGGGTCGCTAAAGCGGCGGGTGCGGAGCCAGCTGGCCAGATAAGAGATGAAAAATTGTACGTTATTGTGCCGCAAAGCACATTTCCAAGTCAAAATGTATAAAACACCTCAGCTCCGGAACACTTTTAGAAGTTGCGCCGTCGAAAAAGTGCACGCCGTTGTGGCGCGAAGCACATTCCTAAGTCAAAATGCGGAAAACGCCTCATGTTCGGACCACTTTTGGAAGCTGAGATGTCGAAAAAGTGCACGCCGTTGTGGCGCGAAGCACATTTCGAAATCGAAATGTTAAAAACACCACATGTTCGGACCACTTTTGGAAATTATGCACCTGTAGAATTTCCAAAAACGACGGCAGGCGTGGGACATTCGAAGAGGATCTGCAAAGATGCATTTTCCGTGGCAAGCGCAATACAAGAGACATGTTCATCAGAGATGTTAGGAGGTCCGGGCGCTGATTTCCTGAGAGAGGTTGCATTTTGGAGCATCAGATCTTCAGTTTTGGGAAGATGATTTTGCGTGACAGGTGCAGCACTTCGCATGACCTGGCATCACTTTTTCGTGGCAGGCGCAGTTGTTTAGACAAATGGAGTGGGAAAATCGCAAAAGGCATTGGTACGAGGCCGTCAGCTCTGCACTCAACTTTCCATGTTTGAAGGACGTCTCGCAGCATTGTTTCGTTTTTGATGTTGTCAACTTCGAAAATTGAGGAAGTCTCGCAGAATTGTTTCGTTTTTGCTGTTGTCAAGTTCACAAACTGAGGAAGTCTCGCAGAATTATCTCGTTTTTGATGCTGTCAAGTTCAAAAATTCAGGAAGCCTCGCAGAATTGCTTCGTTTTCAAGCTTACAGATAGACAGCTAGATAGATAGACAACTACAACTACAACTGCAACTACACTACTTCTACTGACTACATTACACCACACTAATTACACTACACTACGCTAATTACAGTACACTACACTAATTACATTACAACTACAACTACTACTACAAATACAGCTACACCTCCAACTACAACTACACTACATTACACTACACTACATTACACTACACTACAGTACGCTACAACTACCGCTACTACTACAACTAAGACACATTACAGCTACAACTGCACCACACTACACTACACTAATTGCACTACACTACAGCTACAACGACAGCTACAACTACAACTGCGCTACTTTACACTACACTACGCTAGACTTCAACACACTATACTACACTACAGTACACAACACACAGTACACTACACTAAATTACGCTACACTAATTACACCACACTACTACAACTACCACTACAAATACAGCTACAACTTCAACTACAACTACACTACATTACACTACACTACGCTACACTACACTAATTACACTACACTACATTACACTACACTACGCTACACTACACTAATTACACTATCACTACACTACAGTACAGTACACTACAGTACGCTACAACTACCCTACAACTACACTACGACTACACTACAACTACACTACAGCTACACTACCACTACACTACAACTACACCACAACTACAACACATTACACAACACTACAGCTACAACTACAACTACCCCACACTACACTACACTAATTACACTACACTACACTACAACTACAACGGCAGCTACAACTACAACTACACTACTTTACACTACGCTACACTAGACTACACCACACTGTACTACACTACAGTACACTACACGACACTACATTGCACTACACTAAGTACACCACACCACAACTACAACTGCAACTGCAACTACAACAACACACATACTAATTACACTACACTACAACTACAAATCCACTACTCTACACTTCAACTACAACTACAACTGCGCTACACCACACCACACTACATCAAGCAGTTGAGGAAGAGGTGACCACTGCAACCATTGCAGCCACTTCAAAAAACACAACTCCAACCACCTTTCGGTCCATCAGTGGATTCGCTCTGCCATTCGTGACTCACAACAACCAAGCTCTCTTATAGGTTTCCTATTTTTGAAACTTCCGCCACCGCCTTGTGCGGTACTACTGATAAATAATTAGGAAATGGAAGTAATTAAACGGCCAGAAGCCCAAATAGCAACAGCGCAGGTTCGCAGAGCGCGTTTCTGTGTGTAAAAGTCTCTTTGCGAAAAATTCTCTATGTACATAAAGGATCATAAAGGCATCTGTGGAAAAAGTTTCTATATTTACAAATCTCTCTGTGCAAGAGTATGCGCGGATAAAAGTTGCTGTGTGTAAAGGTTGCTGTGCGTAAGGTCATCTCTTTGTAGAAGAGGGTCAAGCATGGGCGTCATGCCATTTATGTATGGAATGCTGAAAGGGAATCCAAAGGACAAACAAAGATATATATATATATAAGGATATGTTATCCATTAGCATTCCTTATCTGGAAGGGAAACGTCAGGAAACGAAAAGATCCAAGCTCAAACACATGTTTGCCTGTTTTTTTCTTGGGGGGAAGGATTTTTTCTTCGTGTAAAAGCTGTTCTGTGCAAAGGTTTCTCTGTGTAAAAGCGTCTGTGTGTAAAGGCGTCTGTGCATAAATAGGCTGCTGTGCGTAAGGTCGTCTGTTTGTAGAAGCGTATCTGTGTATAATGCGTCACCACACCAACATCTGCAGAAAAAAAATAAAACAAAAAAAACAAGCTCAAATGCTTGCTGTCGTACTGTTGTTGATGATGGAAGTGATGCGCGCAGGGCCCCGAAAACCGCCACATTGCGGTGTTTCGCTAATGTTTGAAAGCCTTCGGGACCAAAAAAACACCGTAAATACCGCTGTTTTTGGTGCCTCGCAAGCCAAAAAACACGGCATTTACGAGGTTCTTTGACCTTGTGAGCACAAATCACGGTATTTACAGTGTTTTTGGACAGAACCTAGCAAAAACACGGGTATTACGCAGTTTTCAGCACATTGCAAGAAGTAAGTTGTCCATGCAAAAAACACACCTAGGTTTGCTTTTAGGGTTCGTGGGGGGGTGGGGGGTCCTAAAATGAACACCTCCTGAGTAATCAGGCAACGAGGCTGCCCACCCTCCCCTTTACTTCGTAAAGTAAAACTCAAGGTAGCCCCATTGGGGCTACCTTTCGTGACTAGGATTTGTGAATCTTTTTTTAATTGAATTTTTGGCAACGGCTCGCTCGCTGACGTGAGCATGTCGACGAATGGTCCAGTCTTGCATGTTCAAGAGAACCATGACATAAATGTCCGAGAGCGGATTTTGTTGCATTTTCGGTCAAGTTTAATGGAGGTTGGTCAGAGCTACACGATGAAGAGGTATAGCCTGAAACTATCAATGGGATTTGGATGGATTTGGAAGTATCGGGTTTTGATTGCTGTTCATGTTCTGATGGATCGTGCGCCGCGGAGGAGCAGCTACGCGTATCATTTTATATAGTATCAACTGGAAAGGATGGAAAGGCACCTTTTTTTAAGGCATGCAAGGTCTCTGTTCGGTGTGACGCATGGAACTATAGATCTGCCGAACATGCTGCAAGGCACAGTTGCCATGCTCAAGACTACACTTGTGGCAAAACAAAATCTCTGCCCAATCTGTTCATCCAATGTTGGTCCCTTGCCTCGTGCTACAGTTGCCTCCCCCACGCGAGTCCGAGGAGGAACACTGAACTCCCCGACTAAGGCAGCAGAGTTGGGCACACCGTGCAAGCACAAGGGGGATGCATTGGAGGGCCGCCAGAGGCCTGCAAATTCAGGGCGGCTACTGTGGGCTGCAAAGGATGCACACCAGCCGCATGCCAAAGGACTTGGCTTAAACACTTTCAGGAGCCTGTCGACCGGCTGCCTGACATCCCCGCATGCACATACGAAATTGTCAGAACAAATTGAACGAATCAACATATGCACAATATATTTATCTTATACATATATTATGTATAATATGTGTATATATATATCATATATATATCTCTAAAAAATGTATGTTTGAATCCTCAGAATCCGTCAGCGAGCTTGCGAGGGAGGCTTGGCCAAGCCAGGCCAAAGACGGTGATTCAAAGGCACCACCACTTTGGAAACTTACCTTCGACGATCCCAATTCAGAGTTCTCCTTGCCATATCTACCAGACCCACTTCCAGAAACACAAGTTCCGTCACGAATACCCGAATACCCTGTAAGCATCAAGCATATCCTCATCCTCTGCAAGACTCGTTGTTTTCCACTGAAGGGACCCTCGACCTTAAACTTATGAAAATTCTAGTTTCTCTCCTTTCCAAGGCGCCCGAACGAAAACGACATGCTCACAGCAACCACCAAAGCTCCGGCTATTGCGTTGCCGATGGTGACTGGGATCAGGTTCTTAAGCAGAACGTCCAAGAAGGATACGGGAGCGCCTTCACATTGCAACGCGACGGTTGTATGAAATCTTCAAAAACAAGGGTCGCCCATGTCAGCACACCCTGCACTGATTGTGGGTCACTGAGCATCTTGGTGCTGAAACAGAAAGGGGGCTTTGGAGACAGCCTGCATTCAGTGACAGAAAGACAGAATCACACGAGATGAGGCGCAAGAATGGCCACGCATTCTCAGCCCATCCGCCCCGTATCGCGTGTATACATGCATGTGTGTGTGTGATTGCGTGTGTGGTATATATATATATATTCTGTGTGTGTGTGTCACGCTTATTCACTTCATTCACTATTATACATTATTATGTATATAAATATATATGTATGGTATATTCATATTCATATCGTAGACATATTTGCTTTTATAAACGTATTTTCTTCAATTATTGATGCGTTTCTAAATCATTGCCAAGATGGACGCCTGCCAGGAGGCCAGCGGGCAGGATGAACATGTTAGTGACGGAGTGTTCGAAGCCGATGGCGACGAACATGGAGATGGGGAACCAGGCCCCAATCATCTTCCCGCCCAGGCCCCTAGCCATGGTACACAGCCACACTGCCAGGCAGATCAACCAGTTGCACATCACGCCCTTGACCAACGTGGGCCCAAAGTCCGCGGAACATTTCCTTGGGCGCCATGACGTGACGTGCAATGTGCCTTCATAAGGGTTTTGGAAAAAGCTGGAAAAGCTGGCTCGCTGTCGTTGCACAGCGTCCAAAAGACTCACAGGCGGAAATAACTGAACTATCACATAATTCCACACATTTACCTGTAAAAAAGCATTCCCCAATGGAAATCCATAAGGCCTGCTCCGATCCGGTGCCTGCAAGCCCTGGAAGCCAAGCTTCTTCATGACTGTTGCGACGATCATATCACTTCCACCTCCTGTAAGGATGCCCGTGTAATTGGCCACCAGACTGATGAGGAGACATCCCAGCATGTTTCCAGCATAAGCAATGGTCCAGTTGCGGAGAAGATCCTCCATCCATGTGCGGGAAAGTGCCACAGGATATGTGCTTGTTCGAAACCGGTCCCAGGAAGTTGCTTTGAAATTGCTTTGCAGATATTGGATACCGTGTATGCAAATTGCTGATCAATACTATAATATACCCAGCGTGTGTGAAAAGACATTCTATATAACCATCAAGAGTTGAGATGCCTCACTTCTGAGCTCATTCCTTGCCTTCATTGTGACCTTTTTCTCCAGCACGCCCATAGCCATGGTGGCCGAATTTTGTGAAAATAGCTGGCCACCTGGAAAAGTACCAGGCATCATATCATATGGGCATGGCTAAAATATTCATTATTGAAAAATGGTGCCCCAATATGTACCAATGGACCTTGAAAGATGGTCATTCTTCGCATTTGACCATCCCAAAATGCAATCATTTTGACACATACCCAAATATATACCCCACATTGACATGGCAGCCTGCAACAAGACCTTGGATACCCTTGGCCTGATTGAAGCCCGCACAACCGAATTTCACCCAGTTTGTCGGACCTGATTGCAGGATCAGCAGTAGGTTCACTGGAAACAAGGCTGCAAAGACCACCATCTGCGTGATGTAGCTGCTGAACATGTTGCCACCCAGAACAAATGAAAGCAGGCAAGCCATACCAACGTAAGAACCACCCATCACAGCGGCGTGAAGAGTCTTCTGCCAGCTCTCATTCTTCATTTTGATGGATGCCTGCATCCAAAGGGTTGAAATACTCTTTACTTTACCCCGCATCCCTGAAACTTACCTGAACTACCTTGTCTGTCCCAGATCCCAGCATCTTCCAGTACCGCACCTGCACCAGCTCTTGGTAGGTCTCTGGTGGTGAACTGGTCAGCACCGCAGAGGGCCGACTTTCGAAACGTGGAATGCGTGACCGACGTGCACGGCCACGAGCTGCCACAAGCACTGCCATCATTGAAGTGACAGTCACCTGAGTTGCAGCATGATTCAGGGATATTCATGGAATAGGCTCAGCTCTTTGAAAAAGCTCTTGGCTACCAGCGGCCGTTGCGCCCACAAGACTGTTTACATGTGGGTGTTCACTTCTTTGAAGCAGCTCACAAAACAACAAGTTGAACCAGAACTCTTGACAAGGCACGGGAACCCCTGTGGACTCCCCAATGCCGAAGCCATGTTTCGCTTGAACGTTGGCAACGGACTGGTCTGCATGCACTCCAGTTCCCACAGTGGGCAGTGATGCAAAGGCCACAGGAGTGGACATGGCGACAACACACGGTAATATCAGCAGCAGCGGGCTTGAAACTCATGTTGTTGGCAGCATTAAAAAAAAACATGGAATGCTGAGCCCCCACTTTCAACACGCCAAATTGTCTTGCTGCATGACAATGCAAACGGATGCAAACTGTAGGCATCTGCAAAAAGCATTGTCGTTATGTATTGCTACAGTGTGATTCTGGTTATGGGAAAAACCTCTTCGTTCTGTGACAAATCCAGCTGCAACATTCCCCTTCTGATGTGGATTTACGGGTATATCACTGAACAAATGACGCTCCTGATCTACTGAAGCTACGACAAACAGTTTGAAAGAGCGGAAGTCCCAGAGCAATCCGCTTCTCAGCACCGGAGATATTAAATAGGACCCCTTTTCTCATCGCGCAGACTTGAAAAGGGTAGCCATTCCTTTGGACATGGATGCCAATCCGCCCTTGGCACAAGCTTTGTCTTCAGTGCCACGTCTGAATGAGGCTGGTCGGTTTGTCGCCGTTTTTTGGTCTGACATCGATACCACATCAAAAGTGATCGAACGTTTGGTGTGTGAGGTCTCCTCACCAAAGAAAGCCACCTCTCAATCTAGGGCAAACTTATGGGCCATCAAGTGCAAAGGTCCAGAGTCCAGACTAGGCCCAGACCTCCTGGCTCCATCGTGTATTGGCCCAAGACATTGCTGAGGTCACAGCTCGAATACATCAAAGGTTCCAACTTTTTTAAAGATGTTTACTGCCATTTGCCGCCTTCTTTCCTACGTCTAAGGACAAGACCTTGGCGGCTTCTGCTGCTCCGCTGACCTTTTGCTTGGCATCCTGTGTCATCTGACGGGCCTCGGCAAAACATATGAATTTTGGAGCCAGGCAATGATGGATTCAATGCTCAAAACATCATCAATGCTGTCTACCAATTGTCAATCTGACAAAAGCCACGGCAGGACTCAAAACACCAAAGTTTTGAGCTTAGTTGGCGTAGTTTGTGGTGACTTAGATTTGCCGTCCACTCTTTATGACTGAAGCTACCTATATCCACACATGCTGTGCCCATCGGTGGAAGGAAGAGCTGGGACCTTCCATCTCACTGACAGAAAAAGTCTCATCCAGCCATCTTCATCCCCGGCCAACTGCCACAGCTCACATCTCAGCAACCCCACCATGCGGCTTGAAGACTCAACAGCAGGAGACCTCACCAAGGCAAGTGGTCCCAATTGAGACTAGTCGGCCATCCCAACCACTTGTCGGATTGTAACTGAAATCTGACGTTCTCCAAGGGCAACACTCCAAATGCTGCATATATATACACACACATATCGTGTGCGTGTGCGTGTGCGTGTGCGTGTGCGTGTGCGTGTGCGTGTGCGTGTGCGTGTGCGTGTGCGTGTGCGTGTGGGTGTGGGTGTGGGTGTGGGTGTGGGTGTGGGTGTGGGTGTGGGTGTGGGTGTGGGTGTGGGGGTGAGTGGGTGTGGGGGGTGAGTGGGTGGGGGGGTGAGTATGTGTGGGGGGTGCGGGGGTGAGTGGGTGCGGTGGTTGGGGGTTGTGAGTGGGTGCGTGGGTGCGTGGGTTGAGTGGTGAGTGGGTGAGAGTGAGTGCGCGGTGCGGGTGTGGTGAGGAGGGAGAGCGAGGGGTGAGGAGATTGGAAAATGTGAGAGGAGTGAGAGGCGGAGTGGGGACGGGACGGTGGGGGAGGGGAGGGAGGCGGAAGTGGAGATGAGTGGGGAAGTGGGGGAGGGGGGGTGAGTGGAGTGAGTGGGTGGGGGCCGCGTGAGTGAGTGAGTGAGCGAGAGGAAGAGGAGAGGGGTAGATGGAGGGAAGGGGAGGGGAGTGAGGGGAGGGAGGGAGTAGTGAGGAGGGAGGGGGGGGAGGGAGTGGAGGGCAGTGGAGGGAGTTGAGGGAGGTATGAGGGAGCGAGGGAGCGAGGGAGCGAGGGAGCGAGGGAGTGAGGGAGTGAGGGAGTGAGGGAGTGAGGGAGTGAGGGAGTGAGGGAGTGAGTGAGTGAGTGAGTGAGTGAGTGAGTGAGTGAGTGAGTGAGTGAGTGAGTGAGTGAGTGAGTGAGGAGTGAGTGAGTGAGTGAGTGAGTGTGTGAGTGAGTGTGAGTGTGAGGTGAGTGAGTGAGTGTGTGAGTGAGTGAGTGAGTGTGTGTGAGTGAGTGTGAGTGTGAGTGAGTGTGTGTGAGTGAGTGAGTGAGTGAGTGTGTGTGAGGTGAGTGAGTGAGTGTGTGTGAGGTGAGTGAGTGAGTGAGTGTGTTGTGTGTGTGTTGTGTGTGGGTGTGTTGTGTGTGGGTGTGTGTGGTGGTGGGTGTGTGTGTGGGTGTTTGTAGTGTGTGGTGGTGTGTGTGTGTGTGTGTGTGTGTGTGTGTGTGTGTGTGTGTGTGTGTGATTGTGTGATTGTGTGTGTGTGTGTGTGATTGTGTATGTGTGTGATTATGTGTGTGTGTGATTATGTGTGTGTGTGTGATTATGTGTGTGTGTGTGATTATGTGTGTGTGTGTAATGGAAGTTTCTCTCTAAGAAGAAAAATGCAGAGGTTTGCTCCTTCCGAGTGCAACCAAATAGTGTTGTAGTATGATATGGGTCAAAAAATGATCAGTAACTAGTAACTAGATCTTGGATTGTACATGTTATTATATATTGCACTTGTGTCACTTCGGCCAACATCGGCTGGTCCTCCACCCATCGCATCCAACAAGTGCCAAGGAGCGAGGATGATGATGAGACAAACTTTTCCACGCCATGCCTCGCCGTTTCTGCCGCCTCAAGTAGGACCACTTGGTGATGTCATGAGATATGAAACATTATGAAAACATGGTGTCCATATGGAGTGGATACTTTGATCAAATTGATATGCGAGGACCATTTTGGTCAAACCTTAACCCTAGATTTGGCAGGCATTGTCCAAGGCAAACCCTGATGCGGCAGCTCATGGAAGTCTCATGGAAGTCACAGGCCCGCACCGTTGAAGCCTGGCAAAGAAAACCATGGACAAAGTACCGGGTACCGCTTGGATCAGAAGTGAGAATTGCTTTTTCTTGCAGCTTCCTAGCCAAGAGGAACGTTTCCCAAAGCAAACCATTTCCAAAAGGCCGACAAATCCGTCAGAGCTGACAGAATCGACAGATGCTGTTTCGTTTTTCTCTTTTTTCAGGTGCTCGTTGAATTTCGTGGTTTTTCTGCCTATCCCTATGCTGCCGAAGCTCCTGGAACACTTTGCTGCACAGGAAGCTACACAACTGTGATACGTGCACCACTGAAGGGCACAGGAATGCTAAACATTTTTTACTTTTGATGTCAGTTCAGCCCAAACTCCACCCGCTAGAAAATGCAATGAAACAGGAAGGCGTCAAACATTTTGAATGAAGCACCCACAGGCACAACATCCCCGCCGATTACAACTCCTGGAATCTAAATCTAAACCATCTTCAGTTCCCTGTCCCCAGTGGCATGATGGCATCACACCGCGGGCATCACTTGATGATGCCCAGGGGCTGTGGTGCAAAACACGGCTCCGCAGCTGAGGCAAAATGCATCAAAGAAAGCACCAAAGCAAGCTACAGCGCAACTGAGTTCCACTGTACCCCACTTGGCTTCTCACTTGGTAGCCATCATCATCCGCACAAACTCATCGTAGTTGATGAGTCCATCTCCATCTTGATCCGCCTCCCGGATCATCTCATCCACCTGGCTGGAAGAACTGATCATGATACTGTAGGGCCTCATGGTGACAACATGGATCAATAACATGTAACATCAATGTCCAAATCCAAGAAGCGTGAAACTGCAGCACCGAAAAGCAGCACAGCAGTGTTCCATTAGCTGCTTCAATTTTCTTCATCTTGCTGCAATCTTTTGTTTGGGCTGCATCCGCTTGCCACCCGCTTGCCGCTGGCCTCAGTGTCGTTGAGCCGCTCGCCCAGGTTCGTCATGGAGGCCCGCAGCTCGCCACCCGAGATGAAGCCGTGGCGGTCGCGGTCGAACACCTCCCAGTGCAAAAAGGTTCGCAAAAATACGAGGAAAAAACAGATACTCAGACCGCACAAGACTATTCGCTGGTGTTACTCGAATGTTGACTTTACTACAGGGTTGGCAAAGCCAACGGCAAAAAGGTAGAAGGACTAGGTTGATGTAAATCACATGTCTGCCTGGGAAGGAATGCTCAAGTTCCGGCAACAGCATCATTACGTTACTAGCGACTATATACAGAGCTTTGCTTAAGCCCATCTGTGAAATCCTGCATTCTCTTCTGCCTGGCCTTGAAAGCTTCAATTAGCTCCTCCTCAGTGTCCTTGGTTCACACAGTTTTGCAGGACGCCGGACAAATCTGGCGCCACCTTCAGTTGGAAACCCTTGGGGGGAAGAGTTTTCCGGTTTGGGACATACCAAGTTGGTGCCACAACCTACCTCCAAAATTGGGGTATATGTTGCGGGTAGACAACTGGTGGCCAAGGATCGGTTTCCTTCAACTTCCGCGACATCAAAGACAAGAAAGTGTGGAAGTCAATGCGCGAAGCATCGTGCTCACCATCCCCACCAATCCACTCTTGAAGTTCCTGCTCCGTGGGGTTCTGTCCAAGCGAGCTCAACAAAGTACCGAATTCCTGGCGCCAAGGCCGCCAAGGTGACAAAATAGTCCTAGCAGGTCCTAGCAGGTCCTAGCAGGTCCTGGCAGGTCCTAGCAGGTCCTAGCACCTCTGTGTCCCGAGCTGGAAATTATCCACGGGGAACAGTTTGTGGCACAGATTTGTCTACTGCTTTCAAGTTTGTCCTTCAAGGAGAGCCGGTCATCCTTGTCTTCATCAAAGAGCTTGAAGGTGTCGTAGAACTCTTGGACCTGTGAGCCGCTTGCAACTGAGTGCATTGGCAACCCATTTCAACCCTAGCTACCCCGTTGCTGAAGCCTGAACATCGAGATACTTGATAGGGATGGGGTGAAGAAAAAGCAGGTGTTGCATCACCAGCTTCAATTGGTGTGGAAATGCGTTGCTTAATGAGGTGGAAATCACCAATTACCAAACAAAAATGACGGCAGAACTTAAATTCGTGTTTGGTTGTGCAATCCTACCGCCTTACCTGTGCTACACAATGCCACCCAAAAAAAAGACATGTCCGTCCCAGGCTTTGGGGTGGACTTAGTTCAAGCTCTGACACGGAGTTTGACCTAATGCTGCCAGGCAACAAGACTGATACTCTATGTGACATCAGGGAACGTATTAATTATTGGCTGCAGAAGGGTGTAAAACATGCTGAAAGGGTGCTGAAAGAAATGTTGCAAGCGACTGGTGACGGCGATCAGGCTTTTGCATAAACCTGATGGGAAAATCTCTTGAAGGAGCTCATGCGAGAGAGAGAGAGAGAAAGAGAGAGAGCCAGAGTCAAGACAAGCATTGCCACAACGTTAAGTCTTTGACAAGGTAATTGTCAAACAGTGCTAAGAAGGTGGGAAAAATATGAAAAATAACGTATCAGAAACAGTGCTTGGAGAAGCATCGCAGCAGTGTCAACGAAAGGAATTTGAGGAGTGCTGCTGGAATATATAAACCAGTAAAAAGTAAAAAGTTGTGCAAGAAGTTGAGAGAACTGCTGGAGCAAAGTGTCGGAATAACAATGGGTGGAAGCAACGGAAATAAGAAATGGGATAAGAAAGTTGAAAGAATTGCTCGTGGCGAACTTGACGATATTGTCCAAAAAAACGCCCTTTACGATGTAGAAAATACAATTGATGGGACCCGAGGAAGTTGATAGGTCTGGAGGCCTGAAGTGACAAACAAAAATACATAAACCTCTGCCAAGTACTAAAGTTCACGCAGCTCAGGCTTCCTTTCCTAAAACGCAAATCATTGAGATCATATAGGTCTTTCTGCACCCTCACACCCAAAGGCATTTCCCTGCCAACTTGGGCACTGATAGAATGGTAGACCGCGCCTGCTCCTTGACTAGGCCATCGGCCATGATTCCAACCCTGCTAGGGCTGAGCCAACACTAACAAGGACCCCAAAGATCTTGAGCCCCAGCTGCAGCCATGGACGCGAGCCATGCCACCACTGCACCTGGAACAGCCCGCTACCAACACAGCCTGCAATAGAAAAATTGACCAATTGAATCATACAATACAAACGTAGGCCCTGAAACTGGATCGTTTCAACGATTTTGGGGGCAGCGACCCAATAGTTCCCTCCTCCCTCCGTTTTCCCCCTGGTGCCTGATGCGCTGCAGATGATACACCCACACGTGCAGCGCTCAGGGCGCTGTTGGCAGCGGTCTTGGCGTACTCTGCCTAAATGCAAATATGATGCAGCATGATGCAGCACAGCCAGGGCGGACCGAGAAAATCAGAAACCGGGCAGTGGGTGTTGGTGATGGCGGTGGTGGTGGTGGTGATGATGATGATGAGGAGGAGGAGGAGGAGACAATCATGGTGATCATGATCGTCATAAACTATGAGTGATGGACATGATCGTGCAAGTGGCCATCCAGGCCATCATCATCAAGTACTACAATTGCTTAGGCCGTCTGCGACAGAGGACCGTGCTGTGTCCGTCTGCTCACTACCTCAGGGCACCCCGCACTTTTCGTTGCAGCTGCTTTATCTGCTGCTTGGCTCATGCTATGACGCGCCTCAGGCGCAAGCATAGAGAACCCCTCCAGCGGAAAGAACTCCAACCGACTTCTATTTTTTTGGACAGGAATGGTCAAGATGCGGGCCTTCACGAACAGTGGCCCGGTGTCGATACGAACGGAAATAGACCAAAATCTAAGATCGACAATAAATAATTAGTCTAAATACCTGGTTTAATATATGTCTAGTTCTGCATGTGTGTATGTGTGTTTAAATAATATATTTGTTTGTTTATCGGAAATATATATTATTATATATATACATATAAGAATGCACATATATACATATATATATATGTGATATGTATATGTGTGTGTGTGCGTGCAGCATGCACGTTGCATCTACAATTAAATATACACTCCTATAATCTAACGTAGCAACCCTGGGCCAAATTCAGGAAAACAAACATGTACCTTACACACAGGTCATCCGATTATATGTGAACATGTTTTTTTTCACTCAAAACCCCTAACCTGATCTAACCTGTACTTTTTGCAACCTCCGCCGGAGGTCTGAAACTGGTACCAAGTGATGATGCATAGCAAGATCCTGCAGTGGAAAGTACATGTTAGCATGATACATGCATGTTTTGGACCTGGAATAAGATACAGGTTAGTGTTATTTGAACACGTTTGGTGCTTTCAACAAAAAAAATGGAAAATACATGTTTGTGGGCATGGTTTTCAAGAAGAATTGTTCCGTCTATTCCAATAGTATAAAACATCTCGCAAATCATAAGTAAGTACAGCAAACCACCATGATCCCCTTAACTTGTACCTTGTGATCTGTTTGAGGTTTGTGTGTTCAGATCTTGTTGCAACAGAATCCCAGGCTTCCAAACCAACAATTTGAAAATCTATCATTTTTTTCTTGTATAAAGTTCCTATTTAAAATTGTTGATGTGTGATGCCCTTTGGCTTCACAAAGGGGGAGACCCACAAAGAGACCAGTGATCTAGTTGTGAAGATCTATTGAAGACAATCCCAAAATAGCAAACCGCCATGATCCCCTTAACCTGTACCTTGTGGTCTGTTTGAGGTTTGTGTGTTCAGATCTTGTTGCAACAGAATCCCAAGCTTCCAAACCAACAATTTGAAAATCTATCATGTTTTTCTTGTATAAAGTTCCTATTTAAAATTGTTGATTTGTGATGACTTTTGGCTTCACAAAGGGGGAGACCCACAAAGAGACCAGTGATCTAGTTGTGAAGATCTATTGAAGACAATCCCAAAATAGCAAACCACTATGATCCCCTTAACCTGTACCTTGTGATCTGTTTGAGGTTTGTGTGTTCAGATCTTGTTGCAACAGAATCCCAAGCTTCCGAACCAACAATGTGAAAATCCATCATTGGTTTTTCTTGTATAAAGTTCCTATTTAAAATTGTTGATTTGTGATGCCTTTTGGCTTCACAAAGGGGGAGACCTACAAAGAGACCAGTGATCTAGTTGTGCAGATCTATTGAAAACCATCCCAAAATAGCAAACCACCACGATCCCCTTAACCTGTACCTTGTGATCTGTTTGAGGTTTGTGTGTTCAGATCTTGTTGCAACAGAATCCCAAGCTTCCGAACCAATAATTTGAAAATCTATCATTTTTTTCTTGTATAAAGTTCCTATTTAAAATTGTTGATGTGTGATGCCTTTTGGCTTCACAAAGGGGGAGACCCACAAAGAGACCAGTGATCTAGTTGTGAAGATCTATTGAAGACAATCCCAAAATAGCAAACCACCACGATCCCCTTAACTTGTACCTTGTAGTCTGTTTGAGGTTTGTGTGTTCAGATCTTGTTGCAACAGAATCCCAAGCTTCCAAACCAACAATTTGAAAATCTATCATTTTTTCTTGTATAAAGTTCCTGTTTAAAATTGTTGATTTGTGATGCCTTTTGCCTTCACAAAGGGAGAGACCCACAAAGAGACCAGTGATCTAGTTGTGCAGATCTATTGAAAACCATCCCAAAATAGCAAACCACCACGATCCCCTTAACCTGTACCTTGTGATCTGTTTGAGGTTTGTGTGTTCAGATCTTGTTGCAACAGAATCCCAAGCTTCCAAACCAATAATTTGAAAATCTATCATTTTTTTCTTGTATAAAGTTCCTATTAAAATTGTTGATGTGTGATGCCTTTTGGCTTCACAAAGGGGGAGACCCACAAAGAGACCAGTGATCTAGTTGTGAAGATCTATTGAAGACAATCCCAAAATAGCAAACCACCATGATCCCCTTACCTGTACCTTGTAGTCTGTTTGAGGTTTGTGTGTTCAGATCTTGTTGCAACAGAATCCCAAGCTTCCAACCCAACAATTTGAAAATCTATCATTTTTTCTTGTATAAAGTTCCTGTTTAAAATTGTTGATTTGTGATGCCTTTTGCCTTCACAAAGGGAGAGACCCACAAAGAGACCAGTGATCTAGTTGTGAAGATCTATTGAAAACCATCCCAAAATAGCAAACCACCATGATCCCCTTAACCTGTACCTTGTGATCTGTTTGAGGTTTGTGTGTTCAGATCTTGTTGCAACAGAATCCCAAGCTTCCAAACCAACAAGTTGAAAATCTATCATTTTTTTCTTGTATAAAGTTCCTATTTAAAATTGTTGATGTGTGATGCCTTTTGGCTTCACAAAGGGGGAGACCCACAAAGAGACCAGTGATCTAGTTGTGAAGATCTATTGAAGACAATCCCAAAATAGCAAACCACCATGATCCCCTTAACCTGTACCTTGTAGTCTGTTTGAGGTTTGTGTGTTCAGATCTTGTTGCAACAGAATCCCAAGCTTCTAAACCAACAATTTGAAAATCTATCATTTTTTTCTTGTATAAAGTTCCTATTTAAAATTGTTGATGTGTGATGCCTTTTGGCTTCACAAAGGGGGAGACCCACAAAGAGACCAGTGATCTAGTTGTGAAGATCTATTGAAAACCATCCCAAAATAGCAAACCACCATGATCCCCTTAACCTGTACCTTGTGATCTGTTTGAGGTTTGTGTGTTCAGATCTTGTTGCAACAGAATCCCAAGCTTCCAAACCAACAATTTGAAAATCTATCATGTTTTTCTTGTATAAAGTTCCTATTTAAAATTGTTGATTTGTGATGCCTTTTGGCTTCACAAAGGGGGGGGACCCACAAAGAGACCAGTGATCTAGTTGTGAAGATCTATTGAAGACAATCCCAAAATAGCAAACCACCATGATCCCCTTAACCTGTACCTTGTGGTCTGTTTGAGGTTTGTGTGTTCAGATCTTGTTGCAACAGAATCCCAAGCTTCCAAACCAACAATTTGAAAATCTATCATGTTTTTCTTGTATAAAGTTCCTATTTAAAATTGTTGATTTGTGATGACTTTTGGCTTCACAAAGGGGGAGACCCACAAAGAGACCAGCGATCTAGTTGTGAAGATCTATTGAAAACCATCCCAAAATAGCAAACCACCATGATCCCCTTAACCTGTACCTTTTGATCTGTTTGAGGTTTGTGTGTTCAGATCTTGTTGCAACAGAATCCCAAGCTTCCAAACCAACAATTTGAAAATCTATCATTTTTTTCTTGTATATATAAAGTTCCCATTTAAAATTGTTGATTTGTGATGCCTTTTGGCTTCACAAAGGGGGAGACCCACAAAGAGACCAGTGATCTAGTTGTGAAGATCTATTGAAGACAATCCCAAAATAGCAAACCACCATGATCCCCTTAACCTGTACCTTGTGATCTGCTTGAAGTTTGTGTGTTCATATCTTGTTGCAATAGAATCCGAAACTTCTCAACCCCAAATAGGAAAGACCACTCATTAGCTAACTTAGATATTGTATTCTCAAATCAACGATTTGCAGCTGGTACTGCTAACATATATTTTATGTTAAAACCTCTTGAAACACACCAACTGCTCCAAAGCATACTAACCTGTACCTTGCCCTGGGGGTGTGGCACATGTCTGAATTCCTTGTCTCACCTTGTTTTCCTTATTTCCTGAAAAGTTGTACCTCGTCAAAACGGCAAGGAAAACAAACGTGTATTTATTTTTTTTGTCAACTCCAAAAAAAATACTCGTTAGATTATGGAAGAGTACGATGACAAGCTACCCAGCCCGCCGCATGGCTGGCCCTTGCAGCCGCGCGTTTCATCTCCGTGGCTGCAACATGGCTAGCAGCCGCGGTCTTGGTCGAGGCCTCTGCCGCCAACCGATCGGGTTTGACCCAGAAAGCCAGTTTAAAGTACGAGTATATTTCTGAGTCTATTATATAGTTCAAATATGGTCAAATCCCTTTGGTCAGAGGCATCAAGTCCAACTGTCCAAGTTCGTCCCCTTCATATCCCAAAGCCATCATGAATTCCTTTACTGCTCTGTTCCTCAACCTCTGAAAATTGGGTCTTCCGGATGCGTCAATTGACAGTAGCTGACGAATACTACCCAGCTCGAATGTCTGGACTTCGCACCTCTGGCGCCATCTCCGAGATGCCTGCAGCAAGGTGCAGCCGGGTGCCATCATTGAAGTGATGCTGCGGACTCATAGCTTGAAGTGAGGAAGATCAGGAAGCTCTGCCCTGTGATAAAAAGTTTCAAAAGACAGAATTCTGGGGAACGCAGGGCGGCGACGGAAACAATGAGAAGGATAGCGAGATGCCTTCCTAGTTCCCTCAATGGCACCAGACTTCCCTGTCATGAGGGCTGCTCAGGCTACAAGCATGAACTCCTCAGCAAAGAGTTCAGGAAAGAAAATGAAAAACAATTGCTTTTGGTAGTGTTCAAACCTATCCTCAGCACAGGACATGTGATAATTTACTTGTGAAGTCGGGCCAGGAGCTTTCAATGCATTAGCGGCACCTTGCTTGGCTCTTGCTGCCATATTGCCAGCAAAGCCTGCCGAAAAGGAAGAAAAAATGCATGGTTGAATAATAAAACACACTTCAGGATCGTCCAACCTGCTGTCGCTTGAGATTCTCGTTTTACTGTTAATCTTCAGAGCTTTGCCTCCACATATCGTCTTGTGCGCACCATGTATCCACGTGGCGGATTCTCAACTGTGGGAGACGCAAAACAAAGGTTCTCCGTAGTGGCCAGGCGAAAATGTAAACCGGTTTCAGAGGCTTGTGGGGCACCAAGTTTAGACAATCATCAACTCTTGCTGAAGCTCTTTTCCATCCCCTCATCACCCTGTGCCTAAGGCTCTCTCGCTGAGCTGCGAGACTCTGGGCGGCTTTACCTGCAATGAAGGAAAGTCATGCAACATGGGAGGATGGAAAAGGTACCGGGAGACTTCGATCTCCCTGACCTAATTTGCGGGAATTATGCACTCCTTTAGACATGGGTGGGTTACCATGTCTGATGAACACCGGAACGCGTGGCAGAATTGTTGACTTCAGCATGGTTTAGTAATGTGAAATAATGTGAACTACCCCGCTTGGCCCAGGGCGTACATGGCGTACTATCATATGCAACCATTGGTGATTCTTTTCTTCCCAATCACATCCGCTCGATGGTGTCAACCCATCCTACACCGTCCTACCAGGCCCTTAATCCCCTTAATCCAACAGCAGTGGACCTGAGTGGAAGAGCTGGATGATACTTCCTTTCATGTCGAGCCATGATGAAGATGCGTCAAGGGTTTGTGACGAAGAAGGCAAGTTTCAAATCTTCAATCAGTGGATGAAAATTAGTTGAAAGGGAAGGATGCGAGTTTCAGATATGCTGCAGGCACATCATATCACAAACGTCTCCAGTCCCGGAGACTTGACTTTGGACTGGGGCAAGCAATTTCAGCCCCTAGACACCCTTCATAAGCAAGTGTGTGCGTACCTTCGTGCGCTTACAAATGCTTCTGATCCTGCACATGTGCACATAGGCATAGAGTTTTCTGATGTCATCAATGTTAACGCTGTAGCGGCAAGTGGTTTGATGCGCCGTGTCTTATCTGTGTGTGTGTGCCTCTTATTTGTATGCCTCTCTGGCACTCCCCGCTTGCCACTTCCAACCCGGTGCTGCTCACAAGTGATCCTCCCAGAAATGCACGAGAGTCCCGAGAGCCTCCTCACACAAATGATCTAAAATCGACCGACGCCTGACGAGCAGAACAGCAGCAGATCGGCCAAAAGATGCAGCACATAAACACTGAAGTATGGAGCCGAATGCTGCATTTTTCTCCTCATGGTCACCCGGGCTTGAAACACCGAGCTCGGCAAGTCCTGTAGTGTGGCAAACATATAGGCCGGATTCCGGATGACATCGCAGCCACAAAGCTGTACACAGTACACAGGCATGGCCTCAAGGAACTTGCACCAAATTGGACCTAGGTAAGAGTTCGCATAGGATCTGGCGTCTTCTGATTCTTGTACTTATACCAGGAGCTCAGGGTCTTCCAGCCCAGCTTCAAATCACCAACAGGATCATTGCCCTGGACGGTCTTGCAGAGACAGGAATCAAATGTCACTTTTTGGACATACTCCTCCTCACACAATTCCACAAAACTCTCACGCGCAGCATCGCTGGTGTAAAAAATCTGTTGCAACAAGTCAAGCCCCAAGTATGTTGGGCCATACTTGCCTGGTTGTCGCTTCAGTCCCAACCCCACGGCAGGAGTTACATAGATTTACATAGCATGTCTGCCCATCATAAGTCAATAAAACAGCGGGGGGTGGAAAACAATCCCTTCACCAAGTTGCCGTCCCATTCACGCAAGTACTCCATCAAATCACCCTCATCGATCATGTGAGAGCCCTGCTTGGAATTCTCCACGGTCGTGTCGGCACACATGCACCCACTTTTTGCACCAAAGTAGATCCCCTCTCCAAAGCATTTCGTCACATAGCCAGCAGCATCACCCACCAAGATAGCACGGTCTTTCACCCGCCAGGGGCGAGGGTGCTCAGGAATGGGATGTGCCTCAGCGCGGATGATGTCTCCTCCCTCAATGCGAGGGGCTGCCCTCTCACGAATGCCCTGCTGGTACCTTTGGATGCCCTCCTTGTCCACAACAGTGCCAGTACCAACTGCCACATGTCTTCATCAACATACATCTCTGCTCTGTCCTTGTAGTAGTCCATCTTCTGCTCCGAAATGCGCACGCGCTCCTGGAAGGCCTAGGACTCACCCTTCGTTCCTGGAAGAGTCATACCATGTCATACCCATGAAGAGGCCGTTGATCAAGTTGGCGCCGTTCTTCTTGGCACGTTGCCGCAGGAAGTCATCTAAGATCTCACGTCTCACCATGCCAATGTACTCATTTTCTTTCAAGGTCTGGCCAATTTGAACCTCCTTGTTGGTGGGCGAGATCATGGTCATCTTGCGCATTTGACGGTCAACAATATCCTTGGGAAGATCAAACTCATCAATCATGCAAGGCTTGCAATTGTCCATTTTCCTCTCTATGAGGAAGGTCCACTCCCTGCTGCGCTAGGGCATCAGCTGCACTTGCACCGGCCGGCCCTCCTCCCACCACAGCCACACGAAGCTTCTCCGGGAAGGTGACTCCAGCACAGACCACCCTGGCATCTGTCAATGACCTGCCCTTCACGTCTTGCGGGGCTGCCGTGCTGCACGACGGCCCAAGGCCGGCTGCAACCGCCGGAGTCGCTCAATGCGTTGCCGGAGCAGCAACTAGGGGCCGTGCGGCACACGCGAGGCTAAGGGGGGCAAGGGGCAGGGCCATCAAGCCTGACATGTTCGAGCTGGAGTTTCGGTCAGCCAAAAATCAGGCTGCAAGTGCCTCAGGGCCAAAATGGTTGTGTCCACACTGAATGGAAAGCATATGAAAGCATGATCCTGCAGCGACACTCGACCATGGTGATCGTGTGGACCGCAGAAATCGGTATGCTCTCAATACTTGTCGCCAGAAGCATGTAGCTTTGTTGATCTGCGCAATGGCCACTTTCCTGCCTCTCTGGCGGAAAATTGGCCAAGACTGCTTCGCATTCCTCGCAATTTTCAAGACTGAGGTGATTCCATCACTCTTGGCTTGCTTTTCTGGGATTGGTCAATCAGCATGAAACTAGGAAGGAAGGAGCTAAGTTCCTCAATCCCTTGGAAAAAATCCGTCTACATACGTGCCCTGGAAGCGCAAAACGCCCGGTAACCTTTCCCCAAAAGCCATCACTGCACCTGCGGCGGCAACTCCTCTAGGTATTTCGCCTGGGACGAGGCATCTTATGGAGCTGCTCCATGTAGCCCCCGTGGGGCTCTACCAGTGAGGTAAGCCGAGTTGCAACATTTGAAACCGAAACCCCGCAGGTCAGAAAAGTCGAACACCACCAACTTCCCTCATCATCTTTCCTACGATACAGTTGCGATTCTTGCTCAAGACCCTGAATGTGCATCCTTGTTTCAGGAAAACTGGCTTCTCCCGTCCAAGCTATTTTGACACATGACCGACCGTCGGCATCTTGGCACACAACTATGGTGTGGTCAGGCAAAGGGCTCAAATGGAAGGCAACCTGCAGGGCGCGGAACATTGCAGGGCCAAGAGCGCATGCGACAAATTCTTACATGCTGCAATCAGTCAGTCAACTATCTCAGGACAATGGTGCGACAGTACAGTAAATGTTATGGCAGCTGTCTGGCCACATGTTGCGGCCTGTGCGGCATCCCTTGACGAGGTGTCCTCAGCGGTCTACCCCTATTTCATTCGCTTCATATCGCTTGCACTCCAGCCGAATATCAGAATGCTGCGCTGACCTGACCAAATGCCAACACTAAGCTTTGAGCTGGATGCATCTGAGCGGCTGGCCTGACAAGAATGGGCCACATCTGTGCATGGGTACTAGATTGAATCTGTTTCATTTCAAGCGCATCCTCATATCTATATACAACACAACTAAATCCCCAAGGTGTAGGTTTCCCCCTGGTGTTGATGCATAAGGCCCTACCTTGACATGTAACCACGGACTGAGATGTGCTCGCGAACCTGGACTCTTTCAAGGCAAAAAAAAAGTATAATGGGATGTTTGCAGGTTGGGTGCTTAAGCAAAAATAAACTCTCAACCTGGGATCAGTTTCAATGAAAGTAAGCGAGTAATATATACGTAGGTTGAAAACCGGTCCCATCAACAACTTGATCATGCCCACGCATTGCTAATGTGCGACTGCCATATCTGCAACTAATAATCTGATATGTTAGCTGCCTTCAAGCGAGAAGCTTTCCGCAACAGCGCTAGAAAGCTAAGTGCCGCACCGCTGGCTTGTCATTTACGAGCCAGGTGTCAACAATCCCGTCCTCCACAAGTCTGAAGACAGCCAATGCGGTTTCTGGAAACGTCTCTTTGAACTCAACACAACAGCCTTGGGCAATGAATCACAATCCAGCATTCTTTCAAATGCTTCCGTGGCGTGGTTCAAGCATCTCAAAAGTCAATGAGGGTTGGAGCCCTGTGCATGTTTGCGGAGTTACTTGTGTCAGCCACCTAATGACCTTCACCGGTGCTCCACGCCCAGTCCTGCACATCCTCGACAACTTCTACGGCTTCTGTTGGAATCTCTTCTGTTGCTGCAGCCGCAGCTGCTGGTGCTGTACAACCCCCCTCTTCCACCACTTGGCTTTCACTTCCACAAACCTTGGTAGATGATGCGCTCTCATCCTGTACCTGGCTTGGTTGTGATTCCACAGCTCCAAGTGAGGTATGGCTTGGGATTTCAATCATAGCAGTTGCCCCGGCATCCTCATCCTCTGAGGTGGAGCTGGATGAGGCTCCAGACCCAGTTTCTTGCACCGTGCAAACCTCACCCGGAGCCTCTCTGGCAACCTGGGGTTGAGATGAAGCTTGCTCAGGAGTTTCGGACTCCAAACCCACTGCAGACTCGGAGGCTTCCATAGTTGTGTCCTCGGCTGTCAGTGCATTGTGCTCCAATCTTTACCAGACAAGACCTCCCAACAAAAGTGGCAACAACTGACGACCAAGTTATGAAGCAAGGGAAATGCTTCAACATGATTGGAAGATCCAAGCCGTGATTGATCTGTTTTTTGAACCTGATTGGTAAGGGTTGTCGCTGGAGGCTGGTGATCACCTTTTGGGGGAATCGTGATGTGTCAGTGCTCATTTGAAAAGAAAGAAATACAGCCCACCAAGCAAGGAACTTTCTGCGAAATTCAGGACTAAAACTGCTTCTGCTAAAGCACCGACGATATCAATAAACACAATGCATAATACAAGCCTCATTTGGTGGACCAATCTGGAGATCTTGGATTGCAACAGCCATAGCAACAGTAACTTCATCTCCAACTTTCTGGGGCTTGGCTCAACCCAGGGACATGCTTGGGACCCTATTTGCAAGCGCCCATTGTCATCGTCGCCACAAACATCCACTTGAGGCCAAGGGGTAAGGGACGAGAGCTAGCAGCCAGCTGGGAGGGTCAAGGGGTCGTATGCGGAATTGGGAAATACGAAGTGGAGAGTAAGTCGAATGATCTGACGGCGACGATGCCGATGATGCTGCTGATGCTGATGATGCTAACGGTGACGAAGTGGCGACGATGTCCCTAGGGGGGATTGAGCCACAGTAAAACTGCTTGTAGAAAAAGCAAGCCGGCGGAGGTCACGATGCATTTTAAAAAGATTACCCAGCCATTTCAGGCAAGATCGTAAACTCGTTCAGCGCATCAGTGTAGCGCGCGTGCAGCCCAGGACATCCAAGGGCATCACAGACCTGTTATTGCCTCAAATTTCCTTGCGTTAGACCCGTTAGACACACAAAGTCCCTCTAAGAAGTTGCCGTAACCGAGGTTACATGGGGGAAGTAGCCCGTGAAGTTTCATGCGATCGGAGATTTCAGCAGCTGCCAATACCTTGCTAAAGCAAGAGGGACTTATGCTAGCAGAAGGTAGCTTTCATGATAAGAATATGTCATATAAAATATCTCCCCTAGCTTCTCAGGACGTGCCCATTTTCTAACTGGCAAGGCTATATCAATAAACATCCTCAATGGATTCCGCTGTTCAACATGTTGCTTTGAACCAACACCCAGCCCCTGTCTACATTGTCTAGGGTCAGTAGTCCTGGACTCTTTGCACCATCCAAGGCCAAGCAACCCTTTCCACACTACCCTGTTGATCTTCCATCAGAGGTCCTGACACATGACATGCACGACTTTCCTTTGATGACATTGCAGGATTGTGGCTCCAAATGGCTCCAACAATTGGGATGCAAACATAGCAAATGCTGTCGTGCTGCTCACACCAGTTACAGTTGCGCCTCGTGGAGGGGGCTTGAAGGTTGTGACGTCTGCCTGGGCCGAGCTTAATGACATGTTTGTGGTGCGAAAACTGAACCCACTTCCGGGGTGCACCTGCAAGAGGGCTTACAAGGGGAAACTGTCACATGACAACCTTAAAGAACAATTGCGGATGTAAATTTGGGTTGGCACACAGTGAGAAACCCTGTGTTGAGACCCTGGCATCTCCATCCGCTGCCTTCTCTACACCTCAGCAATTCAATTCAGCACCATCACACTGCAAGCCACCATCCCAGATCGGACCCACACCTTCACTACCTGTTTAAGGTTGTTCAAGTGACTCAAGTGTATCTCCATGTGTCATCATGTGTTTATGTATCCACGTTCCCAACTCTTGGCCAAAAAGCTCTGCATTCCCAGCGCTATCGCGGTATCCGCAGGAAGGGCTGCAGCGATGGATTCTTTCTGTGCCTTGGAAGATCTCGGGCAGCCCTTCGCACAGCTTGACAAATCTGACTGAAAAAACGATGCAGCTTGTGAGATATGAATTCGCCAGCTGTGTCAGATGATGACCTACTTTTTTGTCAAATGTTATATCTTTCTATCGACTGGCGCCTCAGTCATGACCTCCAGCACCTCTGAGCGCTTGCTGCTTCCCATTAAAAGCATCTCAGCAGTGGCTGCCCACGGTGAGCACACTGGGTTGGCGGCTGCAAGGTGTAGTAAGGGGCATCGCCCTTTAAACATCAAACTGCACAAATCATTTCCGAAGCACCTGCAAATATTCGAGCTCTCACGGATATCCGACACACACATCACCCCACCTCCATGCACAAATATCAAATGAGCAAATCCGATAACGGCACCACACCAAATCCCACAACAACCGCAGTCAAGGAGCCATTTGGGATGCCTGTTGTGGTGCCATGCGGCTCAACATGGTAGCAGCCTCCTGGCTATTGAGATGTTCCAAGGTTTGTAGCCTTGCTTCCAAGGCCGCTGCCACCTGAGGGCAGGATCACGATATCACTGGTGTCCAATGCTTCAATATGCTTCAATGACACCTCAATGACGCTTCAAAGGTTCATTCCCAGCCTCCTCCTCATCATCGCTCATCCCGCGCCAGGCTGTGAAAAAGAGGTTTTAGGTCGAGTATCTGGAAGGGGTCAGTGAATCTAGATGAATCTAGATTGGGGATGATGGGGGTACATGGTGTGATTCAAACTTGATGCAGGTCCTGCTTGATCAAAAAACTTAGCGGCAGCTCTGCAAGACCTGGAGGCTTTTGACCAGCACAAATACTGCTTCAATGGTTTCGGGTTACTATGGGTTACTCTATATTATAATATATTATATAATTTAAATTAATTTAATAGAAGTACGTCAAAAAAAACGGAAGCGGCATAAAATCCAGGGTATCGAAAGTGATCCTTACACAGCTCTGGCCCTTCCCAAACCCAAGAAGTCCTGGAAGGGAAACTGACAGCACGAGCACTGCAAACACCCACCCCGTTTTGGCTCTCCCCGAAGAGAAGGCTTCGCATGTGCTGCCTTTGCTTTGCTTCTCACTTGTCCTTGCTTTCCTGGCCAGTGCTCGTGCTGTGAACCGCACCACGCACGAAAGATTCGCAAATAGGGGTTAGGACCTTCAGTTCAGCACGACACGTGCACCCAACAAACGGGTCAGAGTACCTTGCGTAGTGCGTCAAGTGCAGCACCTGATAGGACAGCTGAAATATGGTTGTGTGAAGTGCGACGTTTGAAGCGAATACGATGCAAATCATCTTGCTGATGATTTTCAGCGATTTGTGGTCTACAGGCCATGGAATGGAAGACCACACCAATTTGCAAGGAACTCCAACCTATCATCGAAACCCATTGGGACTGGGTTTGTTTCTTTGATATAGCTATGCTATAGCTTTGATATCCTTCATTTCTTGTCCATGTCTTGTTTAGATTCTTGGAAGCTCCTAAAACTTGAGGCAAGGGGTAGGTACGAAAGCTATAGGACGGTACTAATGTTGTACCGGAGACCCAAACCACGGCCCAGGGGGTGGGTTGAACCCGGGGGGTGTAACATTGAAAGTTTCAAGACATTCAACGGTCCTGATGACTGCCTATTCCTTGCTGAAGCAAGAGCAACTTCAGCTAGCACAAGCTAGCTTTCGTGAAGAGAGACCAAAGTAGACCAAGTGGACAACCCCCTCACCCTAGGCTCCCAACGCGCATCCCGAGCAGTTTGTTCAAGGCGGGTCATTTGCAAAGCCCAGGAGGATTCGATCTTAGAAGGTACCTTGGCATCGGACTCAAAGCGCAACAACTGGCAGTAGCTGCAATAGTGCGATCAAATGCGATCAAACCATCTGGCTTCCAGGCCAGAAAACATGAGCAAACGTATCAAATCCCTTAATGACTGAACCACCACCATGCCAGCAACCCATCAACCCCAAGTCCACCTCCTGCATCGCTGAAGTCAATTTAGCCTTGGAGGTTGGAACTTTGCATGGCCTCTTGAACACAGCTACACCTGGATCAACCTAACCTCTCTCTCTCTGTCGGGCGTGACTGTCCGCAGCCCTCCCATTAGGACGCCCCAAAGAAGCCAAATATTCAACCTAACCTGTTTCTCCATCAACCTTCCTCCGTCCCCCTGCCCACCTCGGCTTTCTTCTTGACTGCATCAATACGGTCCTGAGCCTGCATCACTGATGGAACAAATACTCAAAGAGCCCCAGGGTGCATTAGTGCTGCAGCCACCATAAGTCATCCTTGATGTAATCATTCTTCTGCTCGAAGATAGAACAATCCTAATAACCCATAATAACCCCACAACCCATGAAGCTGGCCACACCTCAGAGCGAAGCTTGGTTTCTGCATCCCTGAGGTGTTTCGCAATGGCCTGCACGGCACATCCCCCTAAGTTCGCAAAGATTGTGGCAGCTTTGAGGAATCTCTACACGTAAAGTTCACTCGGCAAACATGTTCATGCACAGGGTGGATCCAAAGTGGATCATGCTGGCTTACAACTAAGGAAGCATCACTTGCAAAACCATAGTAAGCCCAAGGAGAGGAAAACAAAAGCAGGGCCAGTGGTGGAGACAAAAATAGTAAGGTACATGAGACTGTGCTGATACTTGTTTTCACTTACGACTTGCAGTGACTTACGTGCCTTTGCCAGTTTTGCTGCACTAAAGCTTGAGGACTTGGCCAGCAAGGGAGTCAGCAGGGGGTGGCTTGTGTCACAGGCGATGTGTAGATGCAAAGGCCCTTGAAAAGTGGGAAAAACAAGCTGAATACTGTATAGGAAACCCGAGAAGGCTCCTTGTTGGGCAACAGTGGAGGGAATGTCAGGCGTCAAGGATATCAGAATATTGTGAAGGAATAAACCACAAAATGGGAAGAACAGAATGAAACACGTTGGGACTGCTGACAACAAGGAGGGGCGAAACACGACCTGGGATGTTGGGAAACATCTTAGCAGGAACGTTCAAGCATCAAATGATTCTAGCGAACCAATAAAAAACCACAGGTGAAATGGCGGCTCCATGTTGGGAACAGTATATATAATATAAGTACAATATGAGGCCATGTCGGGGGATATATCGGATATATCTGAAGAACACGGGACGCAAAGAAAACAAAACACTACACAACAGGTGCCATGCGTTGGAGGATGCAAACTCCTCACCAAACAGTCGCAACAGCCACGATGAAAAAGAAAAAGGGAGGGACGAGAGGAATGAGCGAAGAGAAGCCGTGCTTGTTTGAGTCCATTTGACACGGCTGGGATCCAAGGAGAATGAAAAACATGAAAGAAAAACTCTTTTCTGAAGAATGCCTTTCAAATCAGAAAATGCTTCGGGAAGAGACACTGCTTAGTGAACAGAAGGAAGAAGAAAAACGAGAAAAGGAACCAGAGTGGAAGAGCAGAAGGAGGAACGATGCAGAGGAAGAAAGAAGAGCCATAAAATGCAGTGAGTAGAAAAAGGGTGAAGAGAAGGGGATCGTGTGATAAATCATGTGGTTGAACCCAGATGCATTGCTACTGGCAGCTTTAGTGATGACACGGAGCGACAGTGACAATGACCATTGATTGCATGACCTCGTTGAGCTTCTCCTCCGCCTCCTTCAATCGCGTCGCCTTCTCCTCCTAGCTGGACATGTTCAGCCTATCCCTCTGTGAAGATAACGATGTATCTAGTTTAGTTGCATCCATGGCCCTTGGAGATGGCACGGGCCCTAAAATGCTGTAGCGGAGCGATACTCACAAGCATCACAGCAACATGCTCCTCAATTTTTCTTTCAGTTTCTCGGATCTTATCTACTTTCGCTGCTTCAATTTCAGCCTTCAGCTTCTCAAATTTTTGCTCCACCTTTCCGGGAAATGGCTGCAGAGAGCACAGAATTCTCGTGGTTTCTGGAATCTGGTGGGTCTGCTCAGAACTTCTATGAAAATGACTGACTCTGCTCAAGTAGTTCTAGGGATCACAAAATCTCAGTGTCTATGTGCATAGATGTGTCAAGATATATATTATATTATATTATATTATACATTATTATACTATACTATACTATATTATATTATATTATATTGTATTGTATTGTATCATATTTTATTTTATCATATTTTATTAAACAATAACATTACATTATGTTATATTATATATATATATGTGTGTGTGTGCGTGTGTGAATATAAATATAAATATAAATAGCTCTCTCTCTCTCTCTCTCTGTCTCTATGTATTCACAGCATATAATTAATACAGTAGCAGTCTTGTCGTCCAAATCTGCCAGCATTGGCCACACTTGCGTCCCAAAGGCCCCGATGCGACCTCCTTCTGCTGCGTTTGCTCCTCCTCAACCTGGGCCGCCTCGTCCTCATCCTTAACAGGATGCCACAGGATGCCACAGGTAGAGACCGGCTACTGCCAGACTCGCTTCAAGTTCGTAAAGCAAACTACTGAATCGCTAGTGTCAATACTGAAGCAAATAACAGCTCCCTCCAAAGGAAACCTATGGAAGCACATATGGAAGCGGCGATGAAAACTGCATTTAATTTAGTTGTTTAGGTATGGCTGACAACCCAAAATCGACCGCTGGGCACCAGACTGGAGGCTTGGCTGCTCTCAAGGCTTCCAAATCTTTCAGGGCCGCCGCCACTGCACGCTCGGCACCCTGTAAGGATGCAGACAGCAGAAGCAGCGACAACTAGATCACTGAGTGGGCAGAGAAATGCTACATTGCTACCATCCTCACCATCATCCTCACCATCGTCGTCATCGTCAGCGGCGTCATTGCCATCGTTCTCGTCAACATAATCTGCATCAAATCACCAGCGTCATCTTCATCGTCACTGTTGTTATCAATGCCAACATCAGGATTGAATCGCAGGGTTGCCCCTAAGTCTTCAAAGCCTTCCCACTACTTGCATCACATGTGCTGCCTTGATGGCGGCCTTTCTTGTTGGCAATTCACCTGACCTCAGTGACTGATGATGTTGATGCATCAATCTCGTAGTCACCCCAATTCAATGCTGCCAAACGGCGATCAATGATTTTGGGATGTTCACCTGTCCATTTCGAGAAAACACTGAGGTGGGTTCCTCCTGACCCACGGCCACTCAAAGGAATGGACTCGCGCTGGTGCCATTGAGCAAGGCTCATGGCACCTCACAAGCTGGGCGCCCTCACAAGCTGCTAGAACTGGACCTGATGGGCTCATGGCTCCGGAATCGCTCATCAAAGCAGGAATCAAAAGAAAACTCAGACCTTAGGACCTCTTTAGGACTAAAAGTCACAATGACTACCACATCCTTCAGGCTTGCCTCCGTCGACGACCTTTGCGCCGGGTTCGTCCTGCGACGAGCTTGGAAATGGCCACCCTCTGACACCGACAGCCAAGGACCTCAATCCTTGCCTCGATCCCGCCGTCGTCGTCGGTGCCGGGTGCGATGCCGACCCTAAGAAACCAGTGGCTGGGAAAAAAAAAGTAGGGCCCTTTGGTGCCAAAAGTGAAAACTGAAAAAAGAGGCTCCAGTTTGGAGACCCCAGGTCAGTCTCACATCACTCCCAGGTCGTTCTCAACACTCACCAGCTCCGTTGAGCCGTGGGACAGTACCATGACGACGTCTGCGCCGGCTACGCCGCCGGCTGCGGCTGCGACTCGAGGAGTCACTGGAATCCTGAGCTGGTGGAGCTGATGGAGCTGGGTTAAACTGTTGAATCACTACACACCACAAGGTCAAAAGCAAAAAAACACTTTCACCGTTTCACCAGTTTCACCTCACAAGAACGTCTTCCCTGGTTTCAGATTTTGTTTCACAATTGGTCGGGGTCGAATCGAACCATGAACCAGTGTGACCGGCCTGTTGAGTGATCAAACTGCGGCACCACATGAAATCCAACCCCAAAAGAAATTATAAAGGTGTAGAATAGTTTTTGGATTTTTTTTCCCTCAGGTTTTGGATTTTTTTTGTTTTCTTTCCCAGTACCATTTGCCCTGTATTTGCAACAGTTTGGAACTGGAACCTGTCATTTTGCATGGTATTTGCTACATTTTGGCATGGTCACTTTGCATTTTGCATGGTGTTTGCTACATTTGGCCATGTTTGCCTTCCATTTTGCATGGTATTTGTCATATTTTGGCATTTCAGCCTCTCATTTGCATGGTATTTGCTACATTGTGGTGCTTCAAACGTTCATGTGGGTCTCTTGAGGGTTCTTTAGGCTTTCACTTAGGGTTTCATTTGAGGTTTCATTAAGGGTTTCATTGATGGTTTTATTTTGGGTTTCATTTGGGGTTTGATTTAGGGTTTCATTTAGGGTTTTTTTCGGGTTTCATTTAGGGTTTCATTTAGGGTTTCTTTACGGTTTCATTTAGAGTTTCTTTAGGGTTAGGGTTTCTTTAGAGTTTCATTTAGGTTTTTTTTTTCCGGTTTCATGTAGGGTCTCTTATCGGGATTTCTTATTAGGAGTTCTAAACGCTCAAATGGGTTTCTTTAGGGTTTCATTTAGGGTTTCAGTTTGGGTTTCATGTAGGGTCTCATTTAAGGTTTCTTTAGGGTTTCATTTAGAGTTTTTTTAGGGCTTCTAGGGTTTCATTTAGGGTTTCTTTAGGGTTTCATTTAGGGTTTCTTTAGGGTTTCATTTAAGGTTTCTTTAGGGTTTCAATTTAGGGTTTCAATTTAAGGTTTCATTCAGGAGTTCATTTAAGCTTTCTTTAGGGTTTCATTCCAGGGTTTCTTATCAGGATTTATTTTCACGATTTCTAAACGTTCAAGTGGGTTCCTTTGGGGTTTCATTTAGGGTGTCATTTAGGGTTTCTTTAGGGTTTCGTTTAGGGTTTCATTTAGGGTTTCTTTAGGGTTTCAGCTTGGATTTCATTTCGGGTCTCATTTAAGGTTTTTTTAGGTTTCATTTAGAGTTTCTTTAGGGTTTCTCTAAGGTTTCATTTAGGGTGTTTTTAGGGTTTCATTTAAGTTTTCTTTAGGGTTTCATTCCAGGGTTTCTTATCAGGATTTTTTTCTCGATTTCTCAACGTTCAAGTGGGTTCCTTTAGGGTTCCTTTAGGGTTTCATTTAGGATGTCATTTAGGGTTTCTTTAGGGTTTCATTTGGGGTTTCTTTAGGGTTTCATTTGGGGTTTCTTTAGGGTTTCATTTGGGGTTTCTTTAGGGTTTCATTTAGGGTTTCAATTTAGGGTTTCATTTAGGGTTTCATTTTGGGTTTCTTTAGGGTGTCAATTTAGGGTTTCAGCTAAGGTGTGAGTTAAGGTTTCATTCAGTTTTTTTTTGCAGAGTGTTGTTTAGGGTTTCTTTGGATGTCATTTAGGGTGTCATATAAAGTTTCTTTAAGGTTTCATTTATGGTTTCTTTAGGATTAATGTATGGTTTCTTTAGGGTTCATTTATGGTTTCTTTAGGGTTCATTTCATTTCGGGCTTCATGTAGGGTTTCTTATCATGATTTTTTTAGGTTTCTTTGGGTTTCACCTAGGGTCTCTCTAGGGTTTCATTTAGCATGCAAACAGAACAGAATAAAGCGAAAGAAAATGAAAAACAAAGAGACAGTAAAGACAGGAAGCAAAGAAGCAAAGGAGCAGGGAGTGGAGCAGCAAAAACACATGACTGAAGAAAAGAAAAAGTAGAATAGTAGAAGTACAAAGGCACAGAAGTACAAAAGCAGAGAAGCAGGGAAAACAGAGAAGCAGAAAAGCAAAGAAGCAGGAAAAGCAAAAAGCAGAAAACCAGAGAAGCAGGAAAAGAAGAGAAGCAGAGAAGCAGGGAAAGCAAAGAAGCAGGAAAAGCAAAAAGCAGAAAAGCAGAAAAGCAGAAAAGCAAAGAAGCAGGAAAAGCAGAAAAGCAGAGAAGCAGGAAAAGCAAGAAAAGCAGAAGCAGAAAAGCAGAAAAGCGGGAAAAGCAGGAAAAGCAGGAAAAGCAGAGAAGCAGAAAAGCAGAGAAGCAGGAAAAGCAGAAAAGCAGAAAAGCAGAAAAGCAGAAAAGCAGAGAAGCAGGAAAAGCAGAAAAGCAGAGAAGCAGAAAAGCAGAGAAGCAGGAAAAGCAGAAAAGCAGAAAAGCAGAGAAGCAGGAAAAGCAAGAAAAGCAGAGAAGCAGAGAAGCAGGAAAAGCAGAGAAGCAGAGAAGCAGGAAAGCATAGATTCAGGAACCCAAGAAAAAATCCAAAACCTGCCGCGAAAAAAAAACAAAAATAAATAGCCCCCCATTATATAATCCCACATATCGAGGCATCAAGCCACCCGTTTCTTTGGGCACATGCCTGAGCCCTATCCAACTACCGCAAGTAGATTTTGAGAGTGCACTGACTACATCTGACTACGACCCATTTGCAGAAGGTCTGCACCCCGTGTTGATTGGCTCTGCCCTGCTCCCTGTGCCTCATCGTCGGAATCTGGCAGCGGGGCATGTGTGAAGCCAAAGGGAAGGACCATGACATGATATCGCCATCTTTCCAAGAGGTGGCTGACGCCAACACGGCAAAACACTAGGGTCACTAGAGTCTGTCAGACAGAAACAACTGGGAGAGATTCTCGGAGCCTGCATGTTTGTCGGCGGCAGTTTTCAAGAAGTCTTCCAAGAACTCTTTAGGGTGCCTCAAAGTGTCAAACAAAACACAATGAAGCGCTCAAATACTTTCAGCTGACCAAGATTCCTCGTACAAAGCGATTTCACTGGTTTCAAGCAACCCCACAATCCTGATCCGCTTTGATCTTATATAACCCCACTGATCCCCAGGGCACGGTTTGACAGCCACTATGCCTGGCAGGATCATAGAAGCCATCCCCGTGGGAATCGCAGTAAGAACGCCAGGCTTTGGCAAAAGGCCTAGACGCCCTTTGGTTTGTCTTCACCTGAAGCAACAAATGCGCTAGAGATAGACAATGTGCAGCATATGTTCTCAGGTGATCAACCTAGCAGGCACATTTGAGTTCCAAGGGTTGAAGGACGAAAGCTAGTCTTGCAGGCTAAACTGGGCCAAAACCAGGAAAGGTCAAAATAATCTGGTGCAGGGCATGTCCACAAAAGTGTGGTTGAAGAAGTTGGGAGTACACTGACTGCACATATCAAATCAAGAAAATCAGGGCTAAACCCGGTTTCATGGTAGAAGCAGAGTGGTAAAGTTATGTTTTTGTAAATGAACCAGATGAAACCTGCAAAAAAAATGAACACTGCGAAAAAAAAACACAGCAGGATCGAATGATCGAAATTCAAGTTGTGTTCGAATATTTTCTCGTGACGAGGAGGTTGTGGTATGAAAAATCACCCGTTCGGAGACCCAGCTGCAACCACACCGGAAAAATACCAAAAAAAACAATTTCAGCCAGCCACAGTTGGCCTTACGTTAGTTTTCGCGAAAAGTGACCCCACACCTGATCTGCAAGGATCCGATGCTGGTCCCCTGCTTCAACTTCCTCCTCGAGGCCACAACACATCACTGGGTGACAGTTGCGTATAACAGTCAAACCAGGGTATTGGTTTGTTTGAATTCAAGCATATTAGCAATCAGACATCACACACATGTATATTTACAATATACATATGCATATGTATATTGAAAAATATACAAATATTTTAAATATGTATTTAAAAAATATATAGTTATGTATAATTAAATATTTATACACATGGACAAATATAAATATTT